AATAGTTGCGGTCGGGCCGAATACGAATAGTAATTACCTTATACCCGCTTCTGCATACACGGCCTTAATGCTGACAACATGGAAGGATTGGTTTTGTTGAAAGCTAATGCAGCTTTCCTGCATCAACTAAGCTGTCAGTGATAATTTCCAAGTTATTTTAAAATACTTATGATTCTTTCATTCCTAGTTTTTAATTACCACAGACTGACGGAAGGATACAAAACATAAAATGTTTTTAAATGTTTACTTTTCTGTACGAAAACTAACTAGACATGGAAAGAATATAAACTCCGGCCACATACAAGTCGATAATATGAAAATCAAACGAACGGAAACATATAAGTGCTTGTGTGCAAACTTCAACTGCTCTAACATGCTGAGAGAAGAAATACAATATATAAATAAAGTATACATTGCCGTTCAACATCTGCTAAGGTCAAAGTGCTGTATCGCAACACCAAGATCAAAATATATAAAACTTTGATAAGACCAGTCGTTTTTATATGGCTTTGAAACTTGAAGCAGAAATAAAAAAGATGAAACCTTGTTACTGGTTTTCGAAAACAGTCTTACGACAAATCTTTGGACCCATCAAAGATGCTAACAGCCGGGAAAGGAGAGTGAGAAGCAACTATGTAACACATACTATGTTTAGATCACCATTGATCACTGGCATCATGAGAGCTAACAGGCTAGAATGGTTGGGGCATTTTGAAAGAACGTCAGAACGCAGAGAAGTAAACCTGTATACACCTGAGAGAGGAATGGGCGTAGACCACGAGGCAGACAAAAAAAGAAGATCGAGAGATAATTTCCAGCCAGATCTGCAAACAACTTGTGTCACAAACTGTGAATAGAAGGCCAGCCAGAGAGATGAATGCAGCAGTAAACCTCAAGGGCTCAGAATGCTATAGAGGAAGATGACTATTCTGTGCTGCTTTGTGTGAAGTACAAGTTCAGCGTACATTTGACCTTATAAATGTGTGTGTGTGTGTGTTTTTTTTTAAAAAGATATATTTTATACACTATTCAATATTCGTATTCGGTCGAATAGATGGTCCCGTTATTCGTATTCGGCCGAATAGTGAAAATCACTATTCGGTACAGCCCTACTTTCAATGTAATTCAATATTTGCCATGACCACTTTCAGCTAAGGGTCAGAAAACATTGCTGCTCTCTTCCCTGTCCGCTATATTTGTGGTTACTATATTTGTGTTTGTTAGTTTCCTATCACTCGTTGTTTGTAATGGCGTCTTCTCGTTGGGTTTTTCTCGAATCTGGCCCTTCGTGCGTTGCCGCGCTTTAGTAGTCTCTGATACCGTGCCTGCGGTAGCCGGCCTCTCTGCTCTGTCTTTAACCAAACCTTCTGCATAAGCTGGCAAAATGGTGAATCTAGTCTGGAAATGATAGCTACCTGCGTGTTCATTGGAAAACTTACGGGCTAAATCAGTCCACAACCTTCTGGGTCAGGTTCATGGACCATTTAGCATACAAACATTCAAACAGTCTTGATATCATAATAACATACGTAATTCCATAAACGCGCAAGACTGCTTCGATCAGGCTTGTCAAACAGGCAACCAGCGGCACTGCATGCGGTCCTTTATGAATTGAAGTGCCTGCCATAAATCAGTTTTCTAGTGCTTCGAAGGTCGATTTTGTTATAACAATACGAAATAATTATTTGTGTGAGCCAGTGTTTTCCAAACTTTTCTTAGTCGCGGCGCCTTTTTTTTCAGTTAAAAGTTTGCCACGGCGCCCTAACCTGAGTAAATGTATGACTATTCATAGGTAGGAGATCAAAACAAATAAAACCCGTGTATCTTCAAATATTTAGAGGCGCCCATGTGAAGAAGCCGCGGCTCCCCGGGGCGCCGCGGCACACAGCTTGAGAATCACTGGTGTAAGCAATAGCTCTCTGTCATAAGAACAATTAAACACCGAATGATCATGGCTGACTGATAAATATTTGTGTCTTATCCTCTCTCTCTCTCTCTCTCTTTCTCTCTCTCTCTCTCTCTCTCTCTCTCTCTCTCTCTCTCTCCAAAGAATTGCTAGCCACCTGCTGAGAACGTTGCACAAAACACAAATTCCATATCTCCAACGACGGTCTTAGGGATCTGTATACATTCTGTATACAAGTCACAACCGTAAACAGGACGACGCAATCCGTGAAACGAACCCACGACCTTTGGGATGCGAGGCAAGCATCTTCACCACTTAGCCACCCAGAGCCTGAGTCTGAGAGAGTGCACAATCAGAATAAGAGACAGTATTGCGGATCAAGTGCAGTCATTTGAGAACAGTATAACTAGAAGGGCTTTAATATGGAACCCACAAGGGTATAGAAATAAAGGTAGACCCCCCACCCCACACACACAAAGCGAGAAGGAAACTAAAGAGTGTGGTTAAAAAGTTTGGGGAGGAAATGTGGTGAGCTGCATGCAATAGCAAAGGACGACTTCGCGCGAGCTAATTGAGGGCCTATGCTCCATTGGGGGAAATACATGGCAGAAGAAGAAGACTGCAGTCACCCCTCATTGTGCCAGCCTTCATGGAGACTGAGGTATGTGTGCGTGTATACATACACATACATAAATCTTCTTAACTTTTGACCTGTGCAACGCTTATGCCCTTCCGCACTTATCACAAAATAGAAAAGAAAGAAAGATAGCTAACTACACTGACAGAATCAGAAAGTTCCTGGAACTGAAGCCTAGAGTGTACATAGTGTACATAGATATTCTTCTTCTTTTTCTTCAGCGCTCCGAGCTATTGACATACATACATACATACATACATACATACATACATACATACATACATACATACATACATACATACATACATACATACATACATACATACATACATACATACATACATACATACATACATACATACATACATACATGCATGCATGCAGGCAAGCCGGCAGGCAGGCAGGCAGGCAGGCAGGCAGGCAGGCAGACAGGCAGACAGGCAGACAGACAGACAGACAGACAGACAGACAGACAGACAGACAGACACAAATACATATGAATATCCACTCACACACATACATCTAATATACATCAAGTCGATGTCCATAAAGAAGCCTCACTGGGACTCCTGATCCACCAGAACAGAGACAGAATATCTCACCTCCCCAATAAGTTTTGAAATGAAACTAATAAGAAAATGTCAAAGGATTCAGTACCGGCAAGTTTATTTGGGTGAATGAATCCCCACTTACAATCTTTTCTGGTTATTTCAACACTTATCGTGTCGTCTTGAAATAAGAAGGGGAGGGGGGGGGGGGTAATAAGACACCAGTGAGGAAGTGTTTATTCAAGCCGTTTAATTTTTAGAAGATATTCTTTTACTGCGAGTTATCATAACACTTGAGTAGAGCCAAAGACCCCACCCCCCCCCCCCCCCACACACACACAGTACCGACACCTTTTAAGGATGGGTCGACCTGGGAGCCAAGGTCATTTTTGAAAAAAGTCCGGCTTTGCCAGGGAGCGAACCCACGACCTTCCGACCTGCGGTGAGCGTCTAGCCGCTCCGCCACGGCGACTCCCTATACCATACAAAGCATATACCAAAAGAGGAGAGGGACGTAAAGCAAGAGGTAGACCAAGAACAATATGGGAAGATAACATCAGAAAAACTCTGCAGCACCAAGGTCGAGGCAGCCAGAAAAGGACGAATCAGGACCTTATATCTCCCTTGACATCCGAAGCGGTAAGAGAGGTTGTGGAGAAGAAGAATAGGAATTAGCTCGTGTAAAGACCAAATAAATGCCTTAGAAGAATACTAAATTTCAAATGGTCAGATTTCCGAACCAATACACAAATAAGGCAAGAATCCAGGCAAGAGTATGTGTCTAATTTTATACAAAAACGCCGCTGGAACTATGTCGGCCACGCCCTTAGAATGGATAAATCAAGACTTCCTTACCAAGCCCTCATTTGGACACCACAGGGGAAAAGATCTCGTGGAAGACCAAGGGAAACCCTACGTAGAACTATCATCAGGGAAGGCTCACTCATGGGCCACTCAAACATTCAAGACCTACAACAGATTGCAACGAACCGCCATGCATGGAGAGTCATGACCTCTGCCCTATGTGCCGCACTCGACACAAGAGGAAAGACTAACTAACTAACTAACTAACTAACTAACTAACTAACTAACTAACTAACTAACTAACTAACTAACTAACTAACTAACTAACTAACTAACTAACTAAAGACCAAACACTTAACCTGCATACCTTATTAGATTTAATAGTTTTTAGATACTTTTGTGCCTGACATGCGTTGATGGGAATTTTCACTGTAGCATGTTTTTTCAGTGCAGTTAAAGACATAGTTTTTCAGTTATTTCTTAGCGGCAGTGGATCACGTTTTAACCACATTGCCGAGCGAGTAATTAACCCTTTCACCTCCGAAAGGACAAAGCGACCGGGTCGCCCACTGGCTTGCCAGTAGACGACTTCGTTGTCGGTCGGGACAGTGTTTAGATGTGTCTTTTGATCGCCTTAACACTGCAAGAGTCTTTTTCAGGGCTTCTTGGTTCTGAGCAATGCCAAGTCATTTTATGTGGCGCTCATAACCTAGTCACAAGTATAACCTAAAGCTCTCACTTTGGGGATGCTGGATAAACGTGACTATTTTTTCTCTCTCTCAATGCAAGCCAAGCAAACCTTTAGCCATATGAAACGTTGTCATAGCTTAGAAAGGACAACAATGGGTGGGACTCTTACCGAGTAAGAGAGGCAGAAGCCAACGAACACAGTGGTGGACACAGGACATAAGAGATACCTGGGCTGGAAAATGCATGAGTCGGGAGAGATGGCGAGGGAACGAGTTTCTTTCAGGCTGGTTGTGATGGGAGCTTCGTGTTAATAACCGGCTACAGGATAATTTACTTTGCTATGAGTCAATGTTTTAATCGACCTCTGTTTTGTCTTCCCCAGGCTGGCAAAACCACTAACATGACAATCGAACAGCTTCAGCAGCTGTTGCAAGAGCAACACAGCGCCATGACGAGGCTGCAGTCCCACGCCCATCTACAGCAAGTGAAAGCAAATCTTCTGACGACGTCATTGCGCGCCAAACTCCGCCGCAAAGAACGTAAACTGAATCTGTTGAAGTCAGAACATGAACAGCAAATCTCCGCTGTGTTATCCCATCTGCTCTACCTGGAGGGCCATATGCAGAAAGAGCAGAATCAGGTCCTTGAGATCCTCCACGATAAAGATGAGATCATTATCCGACAAGCTGGAGAAATAAAAGAATTAAGAGCCCAGAATAACCGCTTTAGGGAACAGCTGAAGGAAAGACCAGGGTATCCACCAGATAATGGTTTAGTGAAAACAATATCGCATCTTGCACACCCAGATGAGCCTACTTTGGTGCCAGATACTGAAAACAGGATGTTTCTTCGCGGGAGTAAAAACAAACAGGGAGAGCAAATATATGGAAACGGGCATAGAGTTCGATTTAGCGAAATGAAGGATAGATTACGCCGCCATAAGAGCAGCTTGGAGCTCTATCAGCACGAGCCACTGGAAACTCTAGTGGAAAGTAATCTCAAGTATGGAAGCCAGGAGAATCTCATAGCAGCAGAAGGAAATCAGTCAAAGATCCACAGTCGTAAGGACAAGTGTCAAAGCCTTATTGACTATCCAATGTTTCTTCATGACCGAGCCGGTAGACTTACGGACGACGGCGATGGTCAGTTAGAGGATTTCCACTCGCCAATTATCTCTCGACATGATTCAACATCTTCCTTGGTGATTTTTGATGAAAAGACGGCAAAACAACACGGAACGTTGTCAACTTCTCTTGCCTATGGCTTTAACGAACTGTCAAAATCGAAATCCGTTCCACACGCCTTATCGATGGTTTCTGAAAAGGAATCTGTTGTAGATAGTTTCAAAATGCGACCAAAATTTCTACCAAATACTGCAATGTCAACTAAAAACAGCCTTTCTGCAACGGCTACCACCACAACAATAACTCCAGCAACCATATCTGCCTCAAGTTCTATGATCAACCTCTCCCCACATCGCAGTCAAACAACTGTTTCCTCGCCAACGGAGTCAAATCCCTTTAAAAGTTTCAAGAATGTCTTCAAGCGAAAAGGAAGCAAGAAGAAAAAGTCGGCGCCATCTTCTTCTAGCAAGGACCAAAAAGATGCAGTAAAATAGCACTCTGAGAAATAGGACTTAGAGTAATTGTTATCTTTGTGATGATAGAAAAGAGCTGACTGCTGTTAAGTTATGCAAGTCTCACCAGATAGAGGCTGAAGCTGAAAGAATTTGGCATTAGATGATTGAATGTAGCAGACCAGTAAGACATTGTGGCGATGTAAGTTTAGTCTTTTTTAAGACAAATTCCATGTTTACTAAAGAATAGCTTTGAAGAGTTGCTTTGATATTCATGTCGATTCATCATAGTCTGAATTTATATAGTCAGTTTAAAACTTATGTTACAGTGCGTATTTGTAAAGCTTTGACAACAAATTTGGGATTAATATTAGGATTTGACTGTGTAACTTTGAATATTCAGTTGGAAATAAATGTTACAATGCGAAATTGTAAACTTTCAACAACCAGTTTGAGATGTATGTAACAATTTGGTATTTTAAATATGATCATTAAATTTCAGAAAAAAATATTTCAATTTGGCAGTGTAAGTTTGGACAGCCAGTTTAAGAAATATATCAACACCACACATTTTAGCTACTGTTTTGAGGCAAGTATTACGTTTATGACAGTGCAATTTTTTACAGATCAGATTTAGATAGTGATTACTTTGTGAAAGTTTACTTTTAAATGTCCCCTTTGTATTTTAGGTAAGGAAAAAAGTGGCTTTTGTGCTGAGATACTATGGAAAAATTCTTAGAATACCATGGGAAAACAAAATACTGACACATATGAAGTTTTTATAAGGAGTAGAAAATTATAGGGAAGAGAAAAAGTTGGTAAGAAACAACAATTAGTTTATGTTAGCTTTACAAAATCGCTGGGGAAGGAGGTCTTGTGTGATGAGTGTCGTCACCACTGATTTCACTTTATGATTGTTAGCCAGCGTGGCGTCTTCCATGCGCTGGTGGTAGGAAGCACCATCCTGAAGTTGTCGCTGCCCTTCTTGGAAATATAGATCTTTCCGCCAGACTACGATTGCTCCCCCTTTGTCTGCGGGTTTGATAACAATGTCCTCACGACGCTGCAACTGAGTTAATGCTTGTTGTTCCGCTAGCGTGAGATTGGAATGCCTAAGTGGCTTTGGCTTCAGTTGTTGTATAAGGAAGTTTTGCTAGTAAACAGCATCTTTGTATGGGTAGCCGAAATATTTTGACCATATCAAGCGCCACGTCGGACTGGGAGAAATAACAGGAAAAGACATGGCACCAGGGAAGAGGCGCAAGGTCTGACCGGTACCAAAGTTTGTAAAGGTAAAGGTAAAGTCGGGAGATGTGAACCAACCTCATTGCATACATTTATAAACTATAAGTGCTCTGCCACCAGAACGGACAGCTGGTACGAAACTGTCCGCTTGTGTTGCCGCCAACACGCAACTCCGTAGCTACGGTGACGTTCCTTTATTTACCCTAGAGTTTTAACTCTGGTGCCCATTACCTAGAGGTTTGGTGAACCCAGCCCAGTAAAAGTGGGTACAGGATAAAAATGACACCTTTGATAGGAGACGGAAGAGCTGGCGAGAGGTCTAGTTTCCTTCAGGCACAGTGAGTGTGATGAAAGTGACGTTCGGCAAAGGACCCGCTACATGATGGTTAGTTGGGTATCCTTTACAGGACGTTGCAGAACCAACCCCAGCAGCCCCTCGCTGTTGTGTGGTTTATCTAGGCAAATTTACGTCCAGTAGTTTGCCATTGCCCCTGGACGGTCGGTCTCCTGATACCACTGTCGAAACCAACGCAAGGCGCATGACCCGCAGCTGGGATCGAAGCCGGCACCACGGCATTACGAAGCGTTCGCATAGACTTAGCCACAGAGCCTACCCAGGATAGATAGGAAGAAGTAAAAACAGGGAAAATAATAAATAGTAACTTTCTACTTCTTATAGACATTATATTCTATACCTTGTGTCATTGCTTATTATGATACCTGTTCGCAGCCTTCCCTCTCGTATACTATCGTCAACCATTTGTTATAAAGATGTTCAACCATGCATTATGCCAAAGTGTTCCATGTCTTCTCTCTTCGTCCTTCTACGCCTGTAACTTTTCCTTTGTCAAGGCATACTGCAGATTTTAGTTACTTGTCTTCGCCAGTTAATGTCCTCCACTGGCTATTATTGTTTTATTGACCTATCTTTACTGTCATTTATTGTTTGCAACAGTGTTTTCAGACAAACTAAAGTGCACTAGGAGAAGGATACTAGCCTTATCCTAGAAGTGGAAATGCAAATTAAAAACTTGATGTCACGGCAGGACAGACCGGACCCTTACCCTTGACTGGCTGCGGGTAGGAGTAAAGCTTAGATAGGCGGACAGACGGAGCATTGCTCTTCTGATCCAGCAACTTCTGCAGCATGCTTCTTTCTAAATATATTAGTGTTACTTTTTCTTTGGAGCAAACAGGGCAGAACGAATGAGGAGTCATGCTGCATGGACAACAGAGAAAGGTCATGATTCATGGGCAACCCATAAAATCTTCATTACTGCCGAGGCGTTGTACTATGGAATCTCGCCATCACCACGGGCTGAGATTCCTGCACCTCTACATAGCAAGATATAAACACTATTGTCTTGATTTGATTTGATTTAAGAACCGACATCACAGCACTCGGGGCAGTCCCATAAGTTCTCCGTTCCCATCTTCAGGAGCCAGCGAAGAGTTCCGATACAAATGGTGCCAGTAGCATTCTGATTAAATGTCTGTCTTGCCTTTCCTCTGAGCCTCGAGCATCTGCCAGAACCTCTCGTCACTTCCAACTGCATCAATCTCACCACACTGTGGTGATCAATCTGCTCCTCCGCACTGTACAAGCTCTCCCACAAGGCACTAACCACGTCTGCCTTATCATGCATCAGTATTCCACTAAGTTGTGCAGAGCCATCCAGTCCGTCCGCCTGTTCATTTCTTAACACACCGGCATATACTGGTGAAAAAATCCAGACAATACTCCTCACCCGTATCCTCCTCAGTGAAGCATGCCCCTCTGCACGAAGTATGCCTGTCCTGATCTTCCTCAGCATGCTTTCTGAGTCAGTTACAATCACAATGTGTGTGTGTGTGTCGTGTTCTCTACCCAGCGGAAAGCCGCAGTGAACGCCTCCTCCTGGTCTTGAAAAACAGAAAAGTGCCAACGACTCAGACACACCGATGTTTCTTTTTAAAATTATATAGTTGAATTATTTAATTTTATGACATTTAAGAAACGAATTATTCCTAAATGTGTAATAAAAGTCGATGGTGTTATTTTACAAGTACAGAAATTTAGGTATCTGGGCACATGGATAAATTCAGATGGAAGATGCATAACTGAGATAAGAAACAGAATAGGTCAGGCAAAAACTGCATTTTATAAAATGAAAAACATCTTGTGCAATATATCCTTGTCATTGAGAGTTAGAAAAAGAATTCTTGCTTGCTACATACATCCAGTTTTAACATATGGCTGTGAATCCTGGACAATCGGTAGGCAGGCCAAACAATTTCTAGAGGCCTCAGAGATGTGGTTTTACAGAAGAATGCTAAGAATACCTTGGACAGCCAAAAAGAGCAACCAAGAGGTTTTGAAAGAGGTGGGAGCCCGAAGACAACTTATCACAGACATCAGAAGGAGAAAGTCATCATTTTCCGGCCATGTTATGAGAAGAGGGAAAATATAACATGTTGTGACCATTGGAAAGATCTGTGGAAGGAGGGATAGAGGAAGACAACGAGAGAAGATTCTTGACAGTCTTGTTGCATGGCATGGAGGTGCGTCGGCACATGAACTGATACATGCTGCAGGAGATCGCAGATTATGGAGAGGCATGATCGCCCACGCTTGTCGGCAAGGCACCTGATGATGATGAGTTGAATTATGCAAAGTACAACTAACCAGGTTCAACCTTGTTTGTGAAATTTTATGTCTCTGGATTCATTTCCGTGCTATGATTATTACTATGTTACAGTTGTTCTTTTTTGTAGTGGTGTAACTTTGCATTCTGTGACTTTGTTACACTTACTGTGCCATGGTTATCCTTGTAACAAAAAATAAAATTTGTACTTCTCAATATTATTACACAATGCTGTACGTATCTTCATAGTGTATATGCATTATTTTATTAGATTCATGTTGTTATATTATTGGATTGCAGTTTTCCGTTCTGTAACCTACATATAGCACTCATAGAAAGATCTAGAAAGATAGAAGGACACACAGTCAGGTATGTCCTTCTATCTTTCAACTTCTCTTTATGAGTGCTGATCAACGCTTCGCCTGTTTATATATATATATATAAAACAGTCAGCAGAAACTTAGCAAAGGGACCAAAGCGGCAGGGATGATTTCTAGGAATTAGTGTTGCTGGGGACACTGGATCCGAGAGCTCAGGCACCTTGTACCCCCTCCCCACACTCACAATTTTTACTTAATTCCCCCCCCCCCTCTCCACAATTTAGAGGGCTGAGGGGCTCCCAACTATAAAATTTGCAAGGTGGCTAGGTGCCCCTGATGCCCCAGTCACGTAAAGAAGTTCTCTTTTTAAGTATTTGTTTTATATATTTCATATTATTTTTAATATACTCTTATATTTATTTGCCATTTATCACATAAAAATAAAAATGATAATAATAATTATTATTATTACTATAACTGCACACTTAACAAAGACTTCAGTGCCCCCTCCTCTAAGTAGGGTCATCTTCAACTTTCTGTCGCTGTGTATATATATATATATATATATATATATATATATATATATATATATATATATATATATATATATAGTTCTATACATAGGAATACACCTTCCCCATTGTAGATGCATATAGTTATGTTTATAGTGGTGTATGCAGAAATATTCCTTCTTCTTCATCATCACAGACGATTGTTTTTTCTGAATTCTCTGAGATGGGATGTCCTCATGCTCTGCAGATTGGTTTCTGCTTGCATTATTATTTTTATTGTTTTTAAATGGTCTATTATTTGTGACTGTGGCCTTGTCCATTTGTTATTCACACCCTTCATT